ACCGCAACGCCCCACACGGGTTTTTCCCCCACAACCCACGGAAGTTAAGTGGAATGAAACGAAGGCTTTCAGCTATCATCTGAGAGGCTGAAAAATGCAGGTGCCGAAGGGACACCCCTCCAAACGCGACTTGATGGCTTTCCTCAAAAGCGCCCAGCCCTACATCGAACGAAAACTCGTTGAGGAGCTATTAGCTCTACGAGGAGTTAAGTTCCAGTTGGCTGTAGAGGTTGAGCTTCGGAACGATGAAGCAAATGGTACTGAAGTGCTTCAAGCACCAGTGTTCAGGACAAAGCAGATCACGATGCTACAGGCGCATGAGATTCCGCAAGCCCTACATGAAGTCTTCCAAACTATCCTAGAGAGATTGGGAATGTTCACTCGGGAAGGGTCTGGGTGGATAGTGGTTCGTGTGAAAACATTCTAGCTTGACACCGCTCACTACAAGCCTTTTCGCGGAGGATTCACGCTAGACATAAACTTTGTGTGCCATTGACTGTGTTGCATCCCCGGTTGTGTCATCTTGGTGTGACAGTTTTCGTCACCCCACCCACGCCAGGGGCTACAGACCCAAGCTGTGATCATAATAAGTCACTGCGGTGAATATCACTTTTAATTACAGCCTGTTGTTTGCGAGGGGATTGACTGAGGGAAAACCAGTATTTGAATAAAATGGTGTGTATGAAATAGCCGTCGCTGGTATGGAGTGCTTGGCATGTCAAACTGGCGCTATGAGCGTCATAAATCTAGCCGAGCATTTCAAAGCTATGAAATTCGTTTGCCGCCTGTGTAACGACAGCAGTGCTGTCAGCGGCAGGGATGGGGAATGGCTATGTAAGCATGTTGAGTCGCCTGGGCACCGGGAAAAGCTAGTTGAAAAGCAGATAAGATCTAGGGGGTGGTCTCACCGCTTCCTCCGGGCTGCTCCCGAGGAACTGCAACGGCAATTTGAGCTTGCGATGGAGCGAGTAGATGCCCACCTCCGATGTTGGACTGGGTCCTCGAGGGGAATCCTCTCGATGAGTACTAATTAATAGACCCCGACGGCCAGCCGCGCGGAAGCTGGGTGGGCCGGCCGTCTTTGGCTCCTGGGTTTGGCCTTTCCTATCCGTGCGATTTTTTTGTTCTTACTATATGCTTACTATGTGAACCACGTACGCGAACTAGGGCTGGGGCGCTTAGATTTGTGTATACTCCTTCTCAAAATGTGAAGTGTGCCAGAACTGGCAGTCTCTATACTACTATCTCAAGATGTCTTGCTTCTTCGGAATTTGTTTTAAACTAGTAAGATGTATAATAAAGTTCAAGACGCTTCTTTTGTTGCCGAACAGTTACGCCGGAATTTTAAAGCTACAAAAACCGTTTCGTTTTCTCTTGAAATTATTTCTAAGTTTCATTAACAATAGTTAGAATAAGGAAAATCAAAATATTTGACAAATGGTTTGGTTTTCTCTGGTGAATCTTTGGAGAAAGCAAAAGAATGATATTTTTTGAATTTCTTTAAATGAATTAATATCTCATATATATTTAAAAAAAAATGATTCTTTTGAAACCATGATCAATAGACACAAGAAATAACTATTTACGTTGTTTAAAACATTTACAGTTCAAATATCAAACATACATTAGATACATTTGTCGGAAAATCGTCGGTCGTAACAACCAGTGGCGTAGCTAGCGGTCCCGCTACTCCCGCCCAGCGAGTAGAAATTTCCCAAAAATAATAAATATTCTAATTGAAGATTAGATATACATTATTTCACAAACAATTTGTAATAATATGTTTTATTCGTTAATTTTCACGCTTTTATTCGGTGGCTCGTAATCGTAATTCCGAAAAATCTCAAGATTTGTTTTGTAACCTAGCATCTGCCTTTTCTCGAACATTTCAATGCACACTCTCGCGATTTTTTCACGTATTCCGCCTATCTTCAGAGGGCGGAACATACAATACAATTCTATATGAGAAGTTTTGACTTTTGGTTGGCTAAGGGACTAGGCGCATACTCAAATCTGCTGTTTTTATAGTCAAACTCCCGCTATTTTAAATTGGCGGAGGTTGTAATTATTCAACTTTTAATATACGAGTACAACGGTTAGTGATTATCAAATTACGAGATCGTTGTCGGTATTAAATTTCTATTGTCCTTGCTCTTAAAATGCTATTTTTTATTTGTGTATGACACAATGGTTTAAGTGCAATTGCGATTTGCTCAATTGATGTTGATATAGAAAATAGCTTATTAGCTAAACCGTTCTCTGCTCGATCGTCGGTCGAACAGAATGTTATCGTTCATGAACGGCCTACTCCTGATTTAACAATCCAAAATAAGGGACGAGAATTTCAGAAAGATTAAGAGGCGAAGGCAGGCTGTGTGGCAGTACAATCTTGCAGAAAATATTTTGTTGGCCATGTCTAATGTTTTCCCGAAAACATCGCCATCATGGACTAAGAATGGCTACAACGATATGCGAAGTATTACGTCTGATGCTAAGAAACATGAGAAAATCTAAATCACATTTGACTGCTTTTAAGACATGGAAAACGTATATATCTAGTGAACAAATTGATAGTCTTATGTCTCTCGCGAGAAGAAATGAGATTCAGCGTCACAATGAAGAGTTAAGAAGATTTACTGGAGTCTCCCTAAAATTTCAGAATGATCTTATCAGCTGTCTTGATTCAATTACTGAAGATGAAATCAGAGAGGAAATAAATGATTGCACATTTATGAGTATTCTCGTTGATGAAGCATCTGATGTGTCCACCAAAGAGCAGTTAAGTGTTATTGCTCGGTTTGACAAAGCAAGTGAAATTTGTGAGAGGCAATTAGGATTTGTGGATGTAAGAATGAAAAGGAATGCCACAACAGTATCACAAGTTGTCTAAGATAAACTTGGTGAGTGTTCTGATATAAAAGAAAAACTGGTTTTTGCAAGCATATGATGGTGCATCTGTCATGTTTGGCCATATCAATGGTGTTCAAGCATTGGTTTGACCAGAGTATTTTGCCCATTTTGTTCATTGTGCAGCTCATTAATTGAACCTGGTCCTATGTCAGTCAGCCTCATCAATTTCTCGTGTTAAAATCTTTTTCATTAATATAACTACATTCAACACATTGAAAAGCAATGCCCCAAAAAGAAAAGCTTTTCTCACATCAAAAAAGGTTTCATCCTGCCCCTGGTGAAACCATATGGTATTATCTCTTTAGATTAATCAATGTATTGCACAAAAACTCTGAAAAACTTTTAGATATTTTTAAGGGTACTTGAAAAACCAGCTGGATGGGACGATGACTCATTAAGTAAAATATGTGGTTTACTGCATTGTGTTGATAGCTTTCTCTTTTGTTTTCTAGTGTGTGTTTTTTTACAGGATTTTAGAACAGTTCACATTTTTGTATTCATTATTCCAAATAGGGAAACCATTTTAATTATGGCATAAGCAAGATTGACGATTTCAGGCAGTTTATTGTATCACTTCGCACAGATCAAGCTTTCACTGAGTTTTACCAAACTGCACTAGAAAAAGTAGGCCCACCAGCAACCAGAGCAGATAGTAGATACAATTACAAACAGCTTTATTTTGAGATTATTAATTCCATTAAAGGGATGTTAAGTGAACGATTTCAAGATATGAATCAGTTCGAGTTTTTAGATCTTGTAAATACTAAAGTATTCAACTGGAAGGGCATAGTTCCACGGGAGATAAGTACAGTCCTCTTTTCACATCCCAACTTTGGAAAGTCAACTTTCCTTCATTTACAACGACAAGGACTTTCACAAAGAGTGCAGTAATGAGGTGCTTAAATACATACACAAATTTAATCTTCAGTCGAGTTAACGTCAAGTGGTAAATTTGTTAAAATTGAATGGTGTCTTGGCAGTGGCAAGTGCTTCAGTAGAGAGATCGTTTTCTTGCTTGAAAAGGGTCAAAAGCTATTTTAGGAATAGAATGGGTCAAGGGCAGTTTAACTCTTTGTGTAGAATGTCTATTCACAAAGATATGATCGAACAAAAAGAGGATTCAGAGGTGTTGCATAATGAGGTGGTTGAAATTTTTTTAGAAAAACCCAAAAGGCTTGCCTTTCTTTATAAATGATGGGTCTAGTATGTGTTTTGGTATTTGTTTTCATAATGCATAGTACTTCGTTGAAAAAATCAAGCATAGCTTTAAAGAATAAAGCCATCCCTGTTTTCCATTCCTCATTCTAAACAAGTGTAATCTAACAAGAGAAATGCTAATAAAAATCTTTCTCTGTGCATTTTAGGAAGCGTCGTATACTATGTTATTTTTTGTGCTAATCCAAATTTCTTCTTTTTATTCAAGGACAGTGATGAGTTCGATTCATTATCTTTTAGGCGACAATTGTCTCCTGCGTAACGTTTCTCTGAGACACCTTTAGTACCTTTTTAACTAGTTGCAGTTTCGACTATTGCCACATTAAGAATGCAGCTAACAAAAATGGGTTTTTATAACTTATTGTACAACAAATAATTCGCCCTGCAAATCGTAAGAAATGCTGTTTCCAAGGCTTTGGATTTCAAAATTTTCCGGGGAGCATCGTGGGGGTCACACCTTCGGCGATAGAAGGTGGGCGGGAGTTAGTATTTTTCCTGACTACGCCACTAGTAACAACCACAAATACTCTTAAAATAATGCTGTGAAAAGATGATTGAAAAACGTCACAATCCTTAAATACAGTTCCAGGATATTTTTAGTAGTTTTTGCTAACTTTTAAATAAGTGAAAAAAGTGTGTAGGTTGAAGTGATTGAAGAAATATCATGTTTGTCATAACAAGATTATTTCAAAAAATAATTTCTTGATGACATCGTATTTATTTCAATTTTTTATGCGAAAGATATAAAAGAGGAGGACTATTTATAACATTTCTTGTAATATTGTTTTTTATTAATCCCTTTCTTGTTGTGTTAAATTTGCACATTGCCAATTGATGTTTTTGCAAAAACTCATTCTTAATTTTTAGTTTGAAAAATGGCTTCACCTCCTAAAAAATTAAAGATTGAGGCAAACGGATCTCGTTTAAGTAAACTCTTAATAAATAAAGGAACACAAGCTTTGAAAACAACATTGCAGTTTATTATAAATTTTCGCTCGTCAAACCTAATCGATGAACTTAATAAACCCTCAAATAAAAGTACATTGGAATCATTAAGAAAAAGAAGCGTCATTAACAAAGAGCAATGGGACCTTCTTTACCCATCAACTGGTTTGCCAAACCTTGAAAACTTTGATATTTCATTATTGACTGTCTTATTGCGTAACATATGTGGTCTAACAGCGCCACATGGTGGATGGGATAATCTTCCTTCCTCTTCAGATACTTCAATCTCAGCAAATATTGCAAGAATAAAGTTTTATCGAAACAAAGTGTATGGCCACATAAGTACAACTAGCATAGATGACAGTACGTATGAGTACTTGTGGGATGAAATTTCAAAAGCATTGGTTGGTTTGGGAATTCAACAAACTGAAATAGATGATTTAAAGAAAGCACCACTGAGTCCTGATGAAGTAAAATATATTGATATGTTAAAAAACTTTACGAATATAAATGAGGATGTCGAAAAGCTTGGAAAGTGTAATTTCAACGGTCTTATAAAAGATCTTAACAAGAAATACCTTGAAGGCACTAGACAATGGTTATTTGAAAAACTCGACACTTGGTTTAACGATAAAAGTGAAGATGCTTCTAATGTCATGATTTTGATTGCTGGTCCTGGCGTTGGTAAAAGTGTGTTTGCTGCTGAGGTGTGTCGACGATATTCTGAAAAGAAGAAACTTGCTGCTTCTCATTTCTGCAGATATAATATATCAGATTATAGAAATCCTCGAGTATTGATAGAATCATTGGCTAGTAGCATGTGTGATACAATATTAAATTTTAAAATTAAACTGAGTGAAGAATTAAAGAGAAAGAATTCCAAAGAATCGATCACCGATAAATTCCTTGTTTTCTTAAATAATCCATTGCATTCATTGGAAGATCATGAACCAATGCTTTTGGTTATTGATGCCTTAGATGAAAGTCAAGTTGATTGCAAAAGTGAATTGTTGGAATTGATTGCAGAAGAGTTTCACCGACTGCCTAAATGGATTAAAATCTTCATCACCAGTCGTCCAGAACTTCCTGTTCAAAAGGAGTTGAAAAGCATGAATCCTGTGGAAATTACAACTCATCCTTGTGATGTAAACAACAAAAAAGATCTGCACAAGTATTTGATACATCAGTTGAGTGATCGTGTGCAGAGAAATCCCTTCGTTCTATTTCCATTAGTTGAAAAATGTGAGGGATCATTTCTTTATGCGTATTACGCACAACTGAGCTTGAAAGAAGAAAATATTGAGCTTACTTACGAAACCATTCGACAATTGGTCCCTAGTGGGCTAAGCGGTGTTTACACAAAGCAATTCAAAAGAGTAAAAGAATTATTAACGAAGGAAAGTCCCAGAAATTCTGCTGTCTCAGAAACTACTTTTATGCAATTTCTTGAATTGTTGGCTGCCTGTCGGGAGTTTTTACCATTAACTTTACTGCTTAGCTATTTAGGTTTTTCTGGTGACATCAAGTTTGAAGTCCGCAGTAAGATCATTGAACTGTTATCTCAAATTTTGCCAGTTTACGATGATTGTTTAACCGTGTATCACAAATCTCTAATTGATTGGTTGAAATCAGATGGTTACGAACAGCATGAGTTTACAGTTAATCCAAAAAATGGTCATAAGTTCTTATGGCATGCTTGTGAGAAAGTGTTTAAACACATCAAGTCAATGAACATTTTTAAAAATCAGATGAACACCGCTATGATCAAATATGCTTTGAAGAATGGAATTTATCATATGTCAAAATGTGGCGAAAATGTTGACTTTAGCTGGGCAGTAGATGTCAAAGTGGTTTGTGCGAGGTTAATGAGTGTGGAAGACATTGAAACTTATACCAGTAGGTCTGAATTGTCTGAAATCATTAAGAAACTACAAACTTTCTTGATAAAAGATGTACTTGAGGAACAACTCTTTCAAATGACTTTTTTGTTTAAGGCAATGAGATCTGAGTTGACAACATATACAATTGACGAAAGCTTCTTTTATTTACAATTTAATGCAAACAGAATTGATGGCAATAACGAAAGAAGATTATTGGCAAGGGATTTATTGAAACAAGGAAAGTTTGTTTGGTTTGAGGATTTAGACTCAACATATTTAACAAACCATCATCATTTGACTGTCCCCTTGCTTGCTAACGTTACATCTCTTTGTGTGTCGTCCAATGAAGAACTTCTTGCTGTAGGATATGAAAACGGTCAAATATCTATATTTGAGCTTCCTGAATTCGAACAACGATGCACTCTAGGCATTGCACTGGATGATTCAAGGTTAGGTAACTTGAATGTAAACAGAATTGTGTCTCGGTATGACATCTATGACTCTCCATCATCAAAGGAATTTGTACGTGGAAACATATGTTGTTGCTCCTTTTCACCTACCGGAAATAGACTGGTAACTAGTGATAGATCTACTGAAGTAAAGTTGTGGGACGTTAACAATGGACGTTTGTTATTATGTTTACAGTCAGATGATGTCGTTAATCGTTGCTCTTTCTTAGATTCTGGTTTGTTCATTACAGCAGAACATGGAATTTTCACTGAAGATGTGTTCAATGAAGATGTGTTCACTGTTTGGAATTCATTAACTTTACAAAGAATTGATCGAGGCTGCGTTGTTGATTACGAAAAACTACAATGCACCGATAAATATTCAGAGTTTATTGATGCAGCTATTAAGGGGAGTTCGTATGTTTTTCAATTCCCAAAAGCAATCAACATTTTTTTTCTACCTTTACAATTGATGATAACACACCATTATCGTGATTGTATTTTTTATCATACAAAACAGAATGGAAAGCTTTCTGAAATCACTCAGTTGACAAAATACAACGATCAAGGAGAAATCGAGTTTTGTTTACCAGATGTTTGGTGTCAATGTGCTGATAGGCGTCTTAACAAAGTCCATCCCATCTCGTTTAAGGAATTTTACGTTGTGCCGTATTTTTCCAAGCTTAAAATTTTCAAAACTGATCATCTTTGGAGACCTTCGTTTATCTTTGAGAAATTTAAAATTAAATGTTGTTGTTTTTCACCGGATGGATCCTTTTTTGCTTCTTTCGCTGTTGGTGACCACGTCAACATTCATATTTGGAGCATTGAACGTTGCATTATTATTCAAACTGTACCAATGCAACTGAAGAATGCATTAGGATGTTGGTGGTCAGATGGTTTACTGTGGATATGGGATGGTTCTGATCATCTTATGAAGATTTTAACTTCATCTGAAAATTTTGTAGATTCTACTCAAGCAAAGCATGTTAACATTGGATTTGAACCTGAAGAAATCTTAACATTTGGTGATGTCTTAGTTTGTATTGACGAAGAAAAGTTTGTTCAAGTTGTTAGAATTACCAAGGGTGAGATACAATACAACAAAAGACTTCCTGTCCATAGCTCAAAAGTTAAAGCAGCAGCTGTGTCACCTGATAATTCTGTTATTTTAACTGTAAACAAAACAGAATACACATTATGGAAATGGGGAAATAACAACAATGAACTTTACTTGAAACCTTGGCATACTGCAGAATTACAAACCATAGCGTTTTTTTTTCACGAAGAGATAATTGAAACTGAACTAGAGCTCAACTGCCGTATAAGTAATAGTAACCAAGCGGTCATTGCATTCTATTTTGAAGATGACCTAATCATCGGGTTAGCTGGCATTTATGTAATTAATGTGCATAAAAACAATGACGTGATTACGACTTTGCATAGTATGCATGGATTTGTATGGTCTAGTGCAATCATACATAAATCATATTTCATTTGTGAATGTGATGGCACATTTTTTGCTGTAGATTTAAACAGTGGTAAAAGATGTGCTAAATTTTACTCATCAGATCCTGTATCGATTATAACTATGCATTACAACACAGGAACTTTAGCTTTAGTAACAAATGGTGGATGCGGAATTAAATTTTTAAAACTCAATGTACCTGAATGAATCCACTAATTCAACCTTTGTAGTTATATTAACCTATTGTATTTACTAACATTACATATCACTTAAAACGAACATAAAAAGTTCTTTATATCACAAAAGGACAGTTATTTATGTTATTTATGGTATCAACAACGAACTCAAAAATATTGCAAAAAAATTGTCCATATCCTTAGTTTTAGCCGTGGAAAAACTGTCTGTTTTTAATTATGTAAAAATATCACGGACAGAGAGAGAGCAATTAATTTTTTGTAATGTCAAGTAAAGATCTTTTTCATCCTATGATTCCCGTCAACTTTCAAATTTATATTTGGAGAAATTCAACACTGTAACATTGTCAAAGTTGTGATGAAATTGAGAATATCACACGAAGATGTTGATTGTCGTAAGGATGGTCGCTTGTTTTACATGTGAAAATTACCAAAAGTGAAAAACCTTTAATCTCTGAACGAACTTTATGTTGATGGTTTACTTTTTAATACAAATGTATGGTCAGATAATTTGGTTATTTTTATTATATATTAAACGTTCACTACATAGAAATGAAAGAATGTCGACAACTCATTCATTGTAAGTCATTTGACAATATGGTGTTGTTGTAGAGGAAGATTATTTTGTTCAAATTATAGAGTAACTTTCTTTGAAAATTTTTTCAAAAACTGTAAATAAAATTTACCTTAAGCATGTTAATATCGTGAAAACAAGTTTTGTATGATGTTTAAAATTCACATTTATAAAACACCATCATGATGTCATGTCATGTCATTGGGTTTTATGGTCATTTATTGAAAAATGTGAGAGATCATTTTTGTACGTTTATTATGTACATATGACCTTAAAGACAGAAAATGTTTTATACTGTCAACAATTCCCGTATGTAAAAACATCATCATGACGTTTTGGAGTTCACTGATACTTCCTTATAGTCACGTGATTAAATGGAATGGAACATAGAAAGATGGCGGAATTCCAGTGGAATAGTAATTCATAGGGATGCCTTAGTAAGGTTTTATTTTCATTCGTTTTGAACTTTTTAAATCGTTCAGTCATGCAGAAGAACGTGAAAACAAAGAACGTTTTCCTATCTGGTGCTTTACAAAGAATTCTACTCGATAAAGAAACAAAAAAGTTTCATCATTCACAACTAAAGGAAGCTTGCGAAACGGCTTTAGGTATAAATCCATAAGTAATGATTGTAGTTATTGCTGATGTTTTTGGATTCTATTTGCTCTATGTTTTTATGCATTGTCAACAAGTTTCTACATTTGCTATCAACAAAACATTAAGTGTAGTAATCTTTCATTCAAGATGTCGAAGAACGCTGTCGATAGTATCCCTAAAATTGCTCAATGTATGATTTGTACTTTTTTGTACGTGGCAAACAGTTATTTTTTAGTGTCAATGGATTGTTCATGTTCTTCTGCTTGAGTATATGTTCATGGAGAAATCTATGTCAACGTGTGCAATGAATATAATGTACTGCTGTGTTCAGGAATGTTGCTTCACAAAATGATCGCTTTATGATTTTGATCTATTCTAGAGGAAATAAACGCTGTTCAAGGAAATGAAAAATCTACAGGGTAAGCTTAATTATGTAAAGTTGTCTAATTTTCTTTCCAATTTTCCAATTTTAACATGACCAAAATAATTTACTAACTTTGAATCTTAATTAATTCACAGTTATATCCAGACTACGCATGCTCACAGATTTGCTAAGTTTTATTGTTCAAAAGTTAGATTTATAAATCAGAATGTTGGTTTGATTTATTTATGATAAAATCTTCAGGAATGTTTCTTCTGCAACTCTACCTCCACTACCTGGTCAGCAAACATTCATTACAGCAGATCAATATTTTCTTCCTTTTGAGTTCAGGATAATCAACAGTATTCATCCCCAAGCCTCACAACTTCACATGTGTCTTTTCACAACCATTTTGTATTTCTTCACAAGTCTAGGTCTTGTATTTTGCTTCTATAAATTGAAGTATTTCAATCATTCTTTGTTCTTAGAAACTCATTGCTTATGGTCATATTGCTGGTGATACACCAGACTCCATTGAACCAGAGAGGCGTTTAATTGACAGAATTATCGAGACTATTTGTACTTGCTTTACAGGTGTAAATACTGATGCAAACGTTCAAATACAAATTATAAAGGTATTTAGAAAAAGTAATGTCAAACTGTTAAAGTATTTAATGAGGGAAATGATATATCCTTAAGAAATATTGTATCATATTGTACATCAATAGAGATGTCAATGTTGATAACATTGTATCATATTGTACATCAATAGAAATGTCAATGTTGATAACATTGTATCATATTGTACATCAATAGAGATGTCAATGTTGATAATATTGCATCATATTGTACATCAATAGACATGTCAATGTTGATAATATTGCATCATATTGTACATCAATAGACTGAAAATGGAAATGAAGAAAAGGATGATAGTGATAATTTTAAATCAAAAGAAATCAGCAAAAAGGAGAAAACTGACATCAATCCTTTACCAAATGGTGAAATTCATCATGGCGACGATAAAATTGCAGATGTGAACGGTAAGGAAGCATTTCTACCTGTTTTTGGAAATTTGACCCTCCCCCTGAAATTTTTTGACAAGATAATCAACCCCCTTGTTCAAAAAACTGTCTACATATTTGTTTTGTTTTTAAAAACTGGCTTTACAGACAATATTGCTGACCAATCCATATTTTTCAATATTTTTCATGGCTTTCATATACAGATAGCGAAGTCTCCGTTCCTTCCACAGAGGTTAAAGATAAAGATGTTCTTGATACAGTTATCATGAATGAAGAATCAATGGTTGAAGAGAAGAGTGTAAAAGATGTTGTTGATGGTGTCAGTGATGCTGTGAACGATGACACAAAACAAGATTTCGTCGAAACAACAGTTGACACTATTGTCTCGGAGTCTGTTGGTAAAGAACAGCATTTAAATAACTCAGACGCGTTGAACAATGCTGCTGTAGATGACTTGCCTTCTAAGACTTCTGCAAATGGCAATACAAAAGACAATATAGGTGAAGAAAGTGAAGAATCATCGAAGATTGCCAAAGAAAAACATCTCGATGGAAGTTCAAATGTTAATGACGAGTCCGTTAACGGCGATTCCCCAAGTGTAACTCAGGTACAAGATGTTAGTGATTCATCTGAATCCAAAGTAATCCCACCAAATAGCATTGATGTTGATTCAGAAGCAAAGACAAATGACTCGACAACTAGCGAAGTTTCAGAGCCCAAGGAGGATGATGGGAATGAAACTGCACGAAATTCCGTCTCCGAGTCTCAGTCTGATATGCCCAGCGTCCTCAGGACTCTGAAGATGACTACCGCTAAGAATGTCGAAACGTCAGTCAACAACAACAAAAACAGCCCTTCTCAGGACTTTATTAACCTGGACGATCATCATTTACAAATATGTAACGATACTCCCGGGTTCAAACCATTTACTTTATTCACAATTCTCTCGTTTTAATTTTCTTCGTCGGTGAACAAGAGGTGAGGTGTGACCTTTCCCTTACTAATTATCAATATAACAACAATTAAATTTTTGATTTTATCTTCCTTTCATCCATTAATATCCATTCATATTAGCCATTAATGTCCATTTGTGTCCTTTATTGCAGACACACAGACGGTCGTTGATATATATTTAAATTACGACTGTGAATTGGCTTTGTCGAATATCTTTCAAAGATTGATCAATGATTTGTCTAAAGTTGCCGAAGGACGTCAAGGTATTGAATTAGGAGCGACACCAGTAAGTTGATGAATATGTTTCATAATGTTTACTTCTCTACATTCTCTTGTTCATATCTATGCCACTCGAAAAGAACTGGAACGTATTTTTTTAGTATGAAAAGGACTGGGACATAGTCTATCAACATGAAAAACTGGGGCATAGCAAATTTTGTGCTGAGAATGTTGATTATAATATATCTTTTTAACACGTTTTTATATGAATAGTATCAATGTCGTTTTATTTTTATATGATTTTTCCATGTTCAAGAACGCAGTATTCGTATCAAAGGTCTGGAATGTCTCGTTTCTATTCTTAATTGTATGGTAGAATGGAGCAGGGATCTTTACTTTAAACCTGATTCTTAGGTGGACGATAATATTGGTGAGTTTTAACATCTTTATGAAACTGAAGAAACTCGCATGTAGCAAATATAAACTTAACATTGTTATACATTTCGATAAGTTATCGCTTTATGATCCATTGTACCCCTCTTTTGATATCGGCTACACTGACGATTTTTCTCTCCATCAAGATTCCATCTTTCTATACTCTGTATCCCCTATTTATCGAAGGTACTCCATTATTTTCTTATACACACGTTAATGTTCTTAATCGTAAATAGATGTTCGACAATTGTAGTTAACCTCTCAGGATCTAAGTTATCCCTTAGTTATCTTTTTTACCCTTGATGGTCTCCCGGTGGATCAAGGCTATATCTTAATGTTTATAGTTACTCATTATTGACCCATGCTACCCTCAATGTTCTAGTCTATCTCTCAATAATCTATACTATCTTCCCGATAATCTAGGCTATCTGTTATTGATCTATGCTAACCTCTTATTGATCCACGCGATCCTTTATTGATCTCCAAATCATCATTGTTATTCTTCAATACTTCTGTTTAATCTCTTCCATATAAATTTCCTGACAGATCTGGTTGATGGTGCACCAACAATTTCTCGAAAAGGAAGCACCGAGGAGAATGAAAACGGAGGGGAACACGGTGATTTATAATCTCAAAAAACGGGGGGTAGTCAGTCGTCTCTCAGATGTACAAAAGGCATCGATAATGCTGAAGAAGTTGAGAGTCTTAAACAGAAGAAGGAGACGAAAGAAAAAGGAATTCAATTGTAAGTTTGGTCAACAAATTTTGTTCAATTTTACGATTTACTTTAAGATTTAACAAGAATCCATCCTTCCTTCAATCTGAAGGTCTCCTTGGGAAACAGCAACCAGTCGCAATTCTTCACACAGATGATACACTAGACAAGGTGATGATCATTTAAGTCCATTTATATCCCTTGCAATCCTTTTGTTTATTATACACTTAC